GTGTTTAGGGGTGTTAAATAGCTGACTATATCAATGTTTTTGGATCATTGAACACAGCTGTTTGCAGTCTCCCTGTTTGAATGTCCACCTTGTATTCTTTGATACTGTGATTTGAGCAACTATTTTCAAGATGATAATATGTAATCTACTAACAGGTGATTTCTTACTGTTATGTTTTTTTTTTTTTTGTAGTTCTGTATTACAAGTACCCTTACACCGCTTTGTTTTGTTTTGTGTTTTTCTCTTGTTCCTCTTAAATTAAAAAAAAAAAAAAAAAAAAAACAGCCACCACCAACACCAAAAAAAAAGGAATATTGCAGCATCTGCTGCATTAGACAGCTGTCTCCATATGAATAGATTTCTGCACTTTTTAAATGCTTAACATATTTACGTCTTTTATTGCAAGGTATTTTCCTATCAATACCATCACTCTTCTATTATGACAACATGTCAACCAGTGTCAGAATTCAGAATGATATGAACATAGTAGGCTTTCAAACAGGCGTGTCCAAGCCGTGGCCCCCTGGTAAAGCTGCCCCATGAGATCATAAACTTTTTTTTTGGGGGGGGGGGGATTTGAGATACGGTAACACTATATAGTGTAGGCTGACCTCAAACTCATGGCAATGCTCCCGTCTCAGTGCTAGAGCTACTGGAGTGTCCCACCACACCTGGCAAGCTCATGCGTTTTCATGCCTTAACTTCACAGAGCTTGAGTGCAGACCATGCGGGTGACGGGAAAGCACCACACAGCGCTGCCTCTGCTTTCGGTGTGCACCCCCCAGAGACGAATCAAATCCTGTAAGCGTTAGAGGTTACGTCCCTTTGTGAAACGGAGAACAGATGCAGCAGTTCCTGATGGCAGCACTTCAGCCTCCCTATGTATGTGTGCTGGTGGAGACATGTTTTATTGTTATTAAGCAGATGAAAATTTTCTTATTTAATTATTAAACATGAGGAATCACTTTCCTCAAAGCAGATATTGATGCAGTGGCTTCATAAAAATAAGGTCAAATATTCTTCTAGTTTTATATTTATGTTACCTTCCTTTTTAAATGTTATAATAAAAATACAAGAAATAAAAGAAGTTTTGTTACTTACGTACATTTATTCCATTATGTATTTTATACAAGGCCCACTACAATTCTCTCCAGTCATTCTGGCCTGGGTGAGACAAAAGGCTGAATACCCATGATAGATGAGAAAATGCGAGAAAGGAAGCCAGCTGGTCGATATTTGACCTACGACCATGGAAAGTTTGCTGTAATGTGAGAGACTGTTTCAGCTGGCTCTCTGCAGTCTGACACAGGTTCAGAAATGAATTACAGTCAGAGGGAAGGAAAGATGGTTCTACGATGCCCAGACACACTGGTCATCTAGGAGGAGACAGCACCAAAGTGATAAGTTCTGCCCAAGTTTTAGGTGTGGGAAGATGTGGAGGAACATTTTAAATGTTCATTGATCTGGTTCTCTCCAGCTGGAGGCTCGGCAGTGTTCGTGAGGAGTATCACAGGCCAAAAAACCAAGCCTTTCATTTGGGTAAGTATGAGGCTCAGCCATAGCCAGAATGGGCTTCAGTCCTGCTTCCCACAGACCCTCTTCTAAAACCGAGTTATAACCTTGAAGCACTGAGTTTTTTGTCAGCTAATCGACAGTTAGACTTTTTAAAAATGGTATTCAAAGATATATTATCCAAAATTACTTCCTGTCTGAAATAGGTGTTTCCCAAATGAAAAATGGTGATATTTGTGACTAGAATTTTCTTCTGATAAAAGTATTTAAGAAAAAAGTTTCTTTTGTAAGCTAAACTTTTGCTCAGAAGGTCGATGAAGGCATGCATATATCAACCAAGGAAAACTGTCAATATTGGAAAAGCTGGGGACGTAGCTCAGTGTAGCTTGCCTGGCACTCAATCCCCTGGGTTCAATCCCCAGTACCAAAAAAAAAAAATAAAAAAAGATTGGATTATATCTAACACACTGTAAATTATGTTTTTCATTATTTGCAAGGTGACCCATAATCCCCACATGGAGGCTTTGTATGTGAGTGTGAGGAGACATAGTGTTTGAAGAGGAAACAGCTCTGCCCTGGGCCTTTCCACAGATTTGATAGAAAAAGAAACCTATAATATTCAGCTCCTAAAGATAAAAGGAAAGGCCACAAAAGGCAAGGTTTTGCCCACTTCTCGAATTTGTGTCTGTAGTGCACCATGTTGAGAGATGACACAATGTCACCCTGTCTACCCACTCAACATAAGTGTAGAGGTGACCCAGACTCTCACCGGGAATCGAGGGTCCCTTCACAAAAATGACAGCGATATGGTCTGGGACAGCATCCCAGGAACTCCTTCAACAATAATGTCTCCTGTCTGAAAAGATACACTCATTGCAAATATAAAATAATGACCCCTAGCATCACCAGCCCACAGCAGAGAGTTCATCTAAAGTGGTTAAATTCTTTGGAAGCAGCTGGATGTGGTGGCCTGTGCCTGTAATCCCAGCACTCCACAAGGCCAGCCTGGACTACACAGCAAAACCCTGTCTCAAAAAAACCAAAACCATCAAAGAAACAAAACCCTGAAATAGATCAATTGCAAATGAATACACAATGTCTTATATAAATTAGTTCTTGTGGAAACCAAACAATATTATAAATGACAGGAGTTACTCCATGACAACTTTAGGGGCAGTTTTTTAAATCTCTGGGAATTCTTGACGTTGCATGGGTTTTACTTTCAGAGATTTTTAATTGGCTTTTTGAAAGTTAGACTAGTGAAATACTGAGTTAATGAATATTTGTATTTAGTTAAGAATCATATGTGGAATTTTGTTTTGCATGAAATTCTGAGATACTGCTTGGCATTCCCTTGGAGAGAAGTTAGAATTTGATTTTTCTTTTCAAGCAGTTGGACTCCAGTGAAACTGACAGGGGGTAGTCTGTCCTGGGTACCCAGGAGCCAAACCCAGATGTTTGCCAGAGGGTATTACGTAAAGGGAAATACATGTTATCACAGGGCAAAATATCACACAGCATATTAAAGTCTTTTACAGGGGGAAAACTAATAGTTTTCCTATAAGAGAAGATAAAAAGAACTTAATTAAATCAGAAATATTAATATGACCTAAGGAAATTTTCTTTTACTCTGCCATGAAAGAAATTGTACTTGAGTGTTCATGTAAAACACTAAAATGTACATCCCTAGCATTCCATCTTGGTGTCTAATATTATTTTCACACTGCTGAGATGACTTTTAATTCCTAAGTCCCTCAAGAATGCACCTGCCTTATCCTTTGACTGAGGTGTGCCTCCAACTCTCTAATCTTGGTTATGAATAAGATCAAGCCCTTTTGATGTTAAATTTATAAACAAATATGTCTTCCTTGAGAAGAAAATGTATCTATCTATCTATCTATCTATCTATCTATCTATCTATCTATCTAGTGAAGGGGGGGATTTTTTTTTTAAAGAAAGCTTTTCCCGAGTGTCAGAGTATCTGTTATAGATCCTAGTTTCCTGTACTCTGGGAGGATGTGTGAATCCATTTTCCCCCAGTACATGTCTCACGAATAAAAATGAATTTCATTGTGTTAGAATCATCTTACTTTAATCAGAAAGCATAAGGGGCAACAGAGGGTAAGTCAGAAAGAGAAAGTGGCCGTGCTCCCAGCCAAAGCGGCTTGTTTTTTTTTTACCTCCAGTAAATCCCACTGAGATCGCTTCAGGATCATGAAACAGATTTACTTAAGGAACTTCCCATGAGGAAAATATTTTAATTGTTCCACACAGAGACATACTTTGTGGAAAAACAAGGAATAATAACTTCTTCTTTAAAAAAAAAAGAATAAAGGGAATCCTAATTAATTAATTTATAAGTACCACAGATAGGAAGAAATGGGCAACAAAATTCAGGAAAATGCTATGAATGTTAGAAAAATAACATAACCAGAAAACACCAAGATAAAAGAAACTGGAAAGAAAAAAGTCCAAATTAAAGCAATAAATAGCACTGTAAGAATTTTTAAAATTATAAAGTACTTTAAAGACAAATTACTTAAGGGTCGATGAAGAACCTCCTGTAATAATTATCTAAATCTGAATAATAAAGTGAAATAGTCCCTTTGGTGCAGAGTAAAGTATGTAATTTTAATTATGAGATTTTGCTAGCTAATTTCTATGTCAAAAACAGTAAGTACTTCTGCTTACAAGGTGGCAGAGACAAGAACTTTTCTCAACCCCTCATATGCACGTTGTCATCAAAATTTAAATTACCCGAAACATGCCTTTTAGTTAAACTACAATTAGCCCTTAGACAGATCTATTTACTGAGAACCCACTATGTGCCAAACACTGCTGGCACATACCAAACAACACTTTACATTTGTAAGCCACTTTTCCTTTTCAGGTTCTCCAAAATGACATTTTAAAACAAACTATTTGTTTTTCAGCATTTACTGCGCATGCTGAATACATCTATTATTATAAATTGTTCTGCCTCAGGAAAATCTTATTTTAAAAGACTCCAAAATATACCCACTTGTATTTGTGTACAGAACCTATTTTATATCAGTTATGTGTGGAAGTCAATCAAGCACGATAAATAAAAACAGATTGCCTGACAAAATAAAACAACAATTTGGGAAGAGTGGAAATGGCACATTTGTCAGAAGATGTCCACAAATAATTAATTACTTTAGCACGTTAAAGATATTCTCTTAATACCACAGCCTCTTCTAAAGAGGATGCTCATCATCCTCTAACCATCTGTCATCCCTCCTCCCCAAAAAACTAATTAGGGTCTCATCCAGTCACACATTATAAGTGATGCAAATATGGATAGTAAAAAACACAATTTAAAGATGTTAGTACAGTAACATTTTGTTTTAAAAGCTGAGGACTTCAGAACTAGTCTTTTATGCTCTAATTACTGAAGTGTTTATTTTCCTAGTAGGTTGTTAGATATTAAACTTTAAAAATTAAATTAAACACACACACAAACTTACAGATAGTAGAGCTTTCCTGCAGCAGGCAGTTCCCTTTTTCGGTAATCTATTCCAGAATCTAGCTGGACAGTATTGCAATATTCCTACAAACCAAACACAGAAAATGTCTTTTCAAACAAGGAGTGGCTCAGAATTGTAAGCTTTCTGCTAAATAATATGTCTTTAATTCATGAAATGTTTTAACAGAATAAAATAATGCTCTTAGGACAAAATTAAGATTCATAAAATTCAATTTGCAACATTAAACCAACATAATACATTTTAAAAAATAAGATTTGCATCATACTTTCCAGAAATTTTGCAAACTAGTATTGTCAGCAAATTTTTCAAACAACTTCCCTAGAGTTTTGTTTTGTTTTTATTTTTTTAAAAAGAAAAAAACAAAATAAAACAGAATAAAGCCAGTCAAAACAAAACAGTGAAAGTAACGCAGGACTTCAAAACAGGATAATTGGAAATCAACAACTGCTACCATGATATCTGTTCTCATCTTCAAAACTGCTGCTCATACCATTAAAATAATAAAATCAAACAAAACAGAACAGAATCAAAACAAACAAACAAAACAAAACACTGAATAAAACAAAACAATAAAACGCAAAACAAATATATTAGAATTCAAAAATAAGACAGAAGAAAATCCCCCGTAGTTGCTGTATTGCATATTGTTATCTTCTAAATAGATGCTCAGACTACCAGCTTTAGGCCTACAAAGTCAATCAATCAAACAATACAAGCACTAGGACCAGGACTTAGCTTAGCAACACAAGCATGAGGTCATGAGTTTGATCCCTGGTACCAAAATAAAAAACAACCCAAAAAACAAAAAGTCATTTCAAGCATTAAGTTGTTTTTGTACCTTAGCTGCTATCAACTCGGTCTGTGTTCCCCTGAATCAGCCAGTTGCGGAAGGCTCTTCCTGTCTGCCAGCCTGCATACCAGCTAGCTCGTGCTACCATAATGCCTCCCCACTTCTCCTCCCTCCCAGCCATGGCTGTGGCTGGCTCACAGGAAGGGCAAACTGGCTTCCTGATTCTCCTCCCTCCTGGCCCACGGGTGCTTGTTTTTCCTCCCACTGGCTCATGGGAAGGATTAATTCCCATTTCTTTTCCCTCCCAGTCCATGGCTGCCACTGGCTCATGGAAAAGCTGCTTCTTGTTTCTCCTCCAGGCCCACAGTTACCTCTGGCTCATGGTAAGGACCCATGAGCTGTTTTTTTTTTTTTTTAAATTTTTAACACAGCCCAATTTCCGTTACCCTGGAATGAGAATCTGGAGGCTACATCTCATGGGTCTTAAGCACCACAGTGGAGAAGAAGTCCAAGAGAGCTAGACCTAATATTAGTGACCGTGTTTTATCACCAACGACTAATATGATGCCGCCATAGGTGGAGCTGCTGACTGTGTCTCTTTGCTCTTGTTCTAGCCACCAATGTTTCTATGTCCTTTCCTGATGTAGATGCCTCCTTTCAAACCCGTGTCACTAAAGTCCTTTTTTTCTCCCCTAGGCTCATTTCCTTCCACCCTCCGAGGTGCATCTGTAAGCACACACCTCACACACGCATCCAGCTGCCTGGACTTTAGAATCATGGCTCCTCACACTGCTTGGTCTGAGCAGCCACCTACTGATCTTCATACAGACATCCCTCCTCAATGTTCAAACCCTTGCCTCCGGCCTCACTTCCAGGACCCAAGCTCTGTGATGCATGCCACTGGAAAGGAATACTTCATTGTCCAAAAACATAATGTACAGTATAACAATGCCTTCATATAAATGTACTTGGTCTAGGCTATCTCCTTTAAACCGCAGGGTATCTTACATGACTCAATGTTCTTAATTTAGCAAAAGCTTCTTTTTTCTATTAAAAAATAATGCTAGCAGAAGTTATACAAGCTTCAATTTCTCATTCTGGATAACTAACTTCTTGAACATCTGAGTGATTATGCCCTACCAAATGATTGCATTTGTACATTCCCTAATCACCACCAAGGAATACATAATCAGCAGCAAAAGAACTGTACCCAAAGCCCTTAGACGTTAGCTCTTAATTGTCTGAAAAATACTAACACTCAGTTTATATTTTTAAAGAAAAATAAACCTCAAACTTTCAAATTTTAATCACTTGCCCTAGATTCTTCAAAGACCTTTACAGAAGGGTGAAACAATGTATTTCCAAGCTGAGAGTAAATCTAACCAGCAGGATCTCTAAGTAACTTCCTAATTTTGAGGTATATTTACAAAACCTGTGACTTTTTAGCACCGTCCTATTCTAATGCATAACACCATAATATTAATCAGCCACTAAATGAAATTTGTTTCAAAATAATTTGTATATTATGTATACAAAGGACAAATACAATTGTACAATCTAAAAATGCAATTAGGAAATTTGAGAAGAAAAAGGAGGTTAACACACTCTTATAAGCATTCTCAGGAGTCAAAGGCTGTTGACTTCAGACAGAAAGTCATAACTAAAAGAACTGTATTATAGCAATTTACACCTTCCTCAGATCAACTGTGTGTATTTCTGGTTTTGTGTGGTTTTGGGTTTCCTGAGACAGGGTCTTACTATGTAGAGATTAGAGGCGTGTGCCACCACATCTTGCTTACTGTATGCCTTTTTTAGCAATCCTGAATAATACTCCTAGGAAAAATGACCACCTCATACAACTTTAGAGAGCTTCTAGTCCACTCCCAGCTTGAACAAAGAATGATATTGTAGAGAAAATCCTTTAAAACTGCTACATATTAACCTCTTAAGGAAAGATTGAAAAGATTTACCCCATTGAAGTACATTTTATTTAAAAAGCAGTACTGTGCCATAAGTCATGGCATCCCAGCAGCATAATCCCAGCATTTTGGAAGGCTGAGGCAGGAAGATGCTGAGCTCAAGCTCAGCCTGGGGCAATTAAAGAAATTAGAGAGACCCTGTCTCAAAACTTAAAACAAAATAGAAAAAGGATTAGAGATTACACACACACACACACACACACACACACACACACACACAATCAGATGTTATATCTAAGTCAGTAAAAGATTCTTATCATGAAAAAGCACTTTTGCTTATTATATAAAATGTAGAGCAAAAGGGGAAAAAAGCCACATAAATAAAAATTGTATGCCTGACCTGATTATACAAAATAGTAATTTGAAAAATCAAAATCATTACAGGTTTTTCCAATATTCAATTGACATGTATATATAGTTTAAATATCAGGACAACAAAAAAGAAAAAAATAGTTGAGACTTTCTTGTTTCAGGAAATGAAATATTTCAATAACTAAGACCTTTGTGTTAATTCTTTAAAAGGTATGTTTTCTGAAAAAGTGATTCGTGCACACTATAAAAAATTAAAACTCTTAAAAGTACAAAAGTAAAAAAAAAAAATCCTTCTCAGAAAAACATTTGCTTACAGCTTACAAGTTTTTCCTAGACATAAAGAGATGATATGTGGCCATGCCACAATTTATTTGTTTATTCTACTGATGACGGATATCTGGGGTTTCTGGTTATTTGCTCTTCCACAGACATTCTTGGATGTGATATTTTAGTGCTCACATGATGTGCTTTTGTCATATACATACTTAGAAAAGGCATGAAAGGGACGTATATGACTGTGCAAGACTGTGCTTCGGTGGACACTGCCCATTTTCCAAAGGTTTGTACCCCAATCCTCATTTCTTAGTGTGCGTGAGCATTCCTAAGTGTTTGCATGCTGCTGGGTTAGAGAAACATAGCTGACTTTTCAGTGCTGACTTTGCAATCTGTACTGTTATGTGTGTACCCAGCTGCATTCATCTGGTGGTCTTTGACTCTTCCTATCTGGGTACTCTGAAGCTTATCTTTTTGGTGACAATACCACTGACTTAAAAAAGAACAAAAGAATTCAAAATAATGAGATTGCATTGCTCTTGATCAAGGATGAGGACAATTTCCTCTCAGTTACAAAAATTAAAATATACTGTTTCCAAGATGTAGCTATTATAAATTGTGACGCTATAATACAGAAAAGAGATAAATATCAAGTAGGGAGTTTACATTATCCCTCAAATTACATATTCTCTTGTTTTAAAAATATTTCAATACATGGTAATTTGTTTCGTTTATGTTAACAGTTTATCTTATTTATCTAACAGTTCATTGAAAAGTTTGTGTTATATGTTTCTTTTTTGTAAGAATCTTTTTGGTTTATGTCTAATACTATTTTGATAATAACAATACACAATGTAATAACTTGTTATTCTATTATTTGATTATGAAAACTTATTTTTTTCATAAAATAAAAAAACTAAAATACAAGCTAATATCTGATACTCTTATCTATAAAATGCACATGAAAATTATTCTCATATTTTTGAAGGCCTCATAATAAAACTGGCATAAAATTGATAATGAAATTTGGGGATCTTGGGCTGGGGATTTAGCTCTGCGGCATAAGCACCTGCCTGCCAAGTCCTAGGTCGTGAGTTCAATCCCTGGTACCAAAAAAAAAAAAAAAAAAGAAAGAAATTTGGGGATCTTTGCCACTAATTTTATCTATGTTGTGGTCTGGATGTTTGTATTTTCTCCAAAGTTTGTAGGTTAAAAACCTATTTCCAGTGTGTCATTAAAAGGTATTGAGAGGCGGGCCACTGGGAGGTGATTAGGCCATGAAGGATCTGCCCTCATGAATGGAGTTGGTGCCCTTATTTAAAAGATAGAAAAAGAAAGGCCCAAGAGAACAACTTTGCTCCTTCTTTCCACAAGAAGATGCAGGCAAAATATAAAAGGTACCATCTTCGAATAAGAGAAGAAGCACTCACCGGACACCGAATCTGCTGGTTTCTTGATCTTGGATTACCCAGCCTTTAGAAATGTGAGCAATAAAGTTCCACTGCTTATACATCACTAAGTTTATGGTGATTTGTTATAGCAGCCTGAACTAAGACATCACTGTAACAGCAAACCTGGGTACAAGGGCTTACCACGTGCCAGGGGCTACTCTAAGTCTGTTGGTCTGTCTGCCTGTCTCTGTCTCTCCTTCCCCTCTCCCCATCTCTCTCTCCCATTTAATCCTCTTAATCCTCTCAATGACCCTATG